TAAACTCTGTTCGGTGTTGTCTTGGTCATGCATGCATTGTTTTGCATAGCCTTGGTTCATTCTAGCTTGTAAGCTTTGTGCCTTGAGTTCATTAGCATGTGTTACTTGAAGTATTTTCATGATTTGGCGTTATGTGAAATGTGATTTTAGTCCATGTTTCATGGTCACACACTTGCATTTATCACCTATTCCATGCTCTGGATAGTTTGTGTTTCATGCCTTAAGAATAGGTCATTGTGCATGCCATCATACTTAGGCCTTTGGGATTCCATCTAAGTGGGTTTTTGGGCTCATTCTGACATGCCATAACTCTGATTTTATTGGCCTAAGTCATGCCATGCTTGGTTGTAATAGGTGTAGTGCAATTGCCCCTTTTGGCCTTGTATGCGTCTTGTTTTGTGCTCACCTTTGTAGTATGTTTTGGCCTCATCCCATGCATGTTGTAGCCTTGTTTTGGACTGCCTTGGGACTGTTTTGGGTCACCTTGGTCCTTTGGGGCTTGGTTGATATGGCCATGGTTCAAGTACCTTGGCTAGCTTTGAACTTGAAGTCCATTAGCACGCCTTGCTTGTGTTATATGTTTGATTTGGCATCACTCTTAACATAATTTCAGAGCTTATGGTGTCACCATACTACCATGATTGTCACCCCTCGCTCATGTTTGGGTGTTGTGACCTTATGCCTTAACTCTTGGACCATTGCATGTGGATGCTCATTGTGCATTTCATTCTATCACTTCATCATTTTGGCCATTGTTTTTGGTGTGGCTGAGGCCTATCCATTTTCAATGTAAGTCCATGGATCATGCGGTTTGTGTGTCGTTGCATGCTTATCGCATTGCATGTTGTCATATCCTTGTTATTGGTATTATTGTCGCATGCCTATTACATTGCATGTTTGTACGTTTAGGTTGCATTTTGCATGCTTGCTAGTTTGCATTTTGTCACATGCTTGATTAGGTTGCATTGCATTTGGCATGCTTGTTACCTTAGCCTTGTGCATGCTTAGGTTGCATAGCATTACGTTTCCATGTTGCATTGTATTTGGCGTACTCGCTTGCATTGCATTGTGTTTGGTTTGGGGTGTCAAACCAAACACGAGGAGCGAGGAACGTTCATACTTGGAGTAACGAAACGTGCCTCAATCCTTAGTCGCCGACGCTTTTGATCCAACATGATAGAGTGTGAGGCCCCTTATGTGTTTTGTGCATCTCATTTGACATTAAATTGCACACTTCGCTTCTTTGGCCATCATGCATTGAAATGCGTGATCGATGGCCTGAGGGTCGAGGACTACACTCCCTTGAATTCATGACATGATATGGAGGGTGGTCGTGCATACATTGTCTTGTAAATGCATTGCCATGCTCTGTTTGTCCTCTGTTGTAGTAAAACAACATTCTGCAGGAAAAGATGGTCGATCGGCTATCTGCAGTGCCGATCGGCTAAGTATTGTTGGCCGAGAGCTTCATTTTTGGTCGATGACCAATTAGTCTTGGCCGATGGGCTTTCCACTTGGCTGATGGCCTTTCACAGCACCCAGAAGGTGATTCAGAAGCATCCTTGAGACTTGCATACTTTTCAGAGGTGCAGAGCAGTGTAAACAGAGGCAGCATGAGCATGGCGATAGATTTTCGAGCGGAGCCGAGCATGCGTGCATTTGTCCCTCTTCTCGAGGCCTCTTTACTGCTTTAGTAGCTTAATTAATTTGTTTAATTAGTTAAGTGGTTTTGTAATTAATTAATTAGCTTGTTAGTTAGTTGATTTGTATTATTTATTCGGACCCTCCGTCTAGAGGGCGAACTTTGTAATAAGTGTGCGTGAGTGTGTGAATGTCTTCCAACCCCACGTCTTTCTCCCTTTTACTTAACCGCTTACGATGGTTAGTTCTAGGTCATGTTTCAATTAGCATACTTATGCTCGCATGTTTGCATCTATTCATCTGTCTTGCATGCACCGGGCTCGACGCATCATAACTAACTACATTGTATTTCAATTCCAAGTTGAGTAAATGTATTAGTTGTTGCATTTCACATGCCATCTTAGAATAGTCGAGCCTATTTCTAGTTACATTTTTCATGTGTTGCATTAGCCATCTTAACATGAACTAGGATCATGCATTGATTACTAATTAGTTTTTCTCTTGGCTCGGAGTACTAGGTAAGTTTTTATGCTTTAACATCTTGCATGTGTGTGAGTGTTGCCATGATAGCATGCTTGCCATGAGGCTATTTGCTTATGTGATATAACTGCCTGAATGCCTGTGGGTGAAGGTTAGATTACTTGAATTGGAACAATTCATCAAATGCAAGTTTTTTTTTAAGCCCACTTGAGAGTGGCAAAATCATGTTTTCCTAAACCCACCTGAGGGTGGCAAATCCATGTCTAAGCCTACTTGCGAGTAGCAAACTTCAAACCATTTCCAAAACAAACGGATATGCGATGCTTTGTTCCAAATTAGGCGATCTAGTCTATACTTGTGTGTTGTGCGCATCACATAGTAATTCTAGCTAATTAATCGGAATAAGAACACATTTGCCTTCAAAAACAAGATATCATGTTTAGTAGTGGCCGATCTTTGATCGAGTGAGTGGGGGTGCTCATAGATGACCTTCCCCAATCGTACCCAAGTTCCCGAGCCGAGGCAACTTTGGTGATGACGGACACGTGGCCTTAGGCAACGAGTCAGGGTTTCCTAAATTCCCCAAAATAAAATATTTAGGTGGCGACTCTATATCTGGCAAAACAGTCCATGTTTGGCACTTCTTTACAAAAATCAATTTTCCAAAAATGATTTGCCAGATTTGGACTCTTTGGTGATTTATCAATCTCACATTGTACATTGTGAGATCAGATTAAGAACCGTGACATTTGAGTCCGAACTGTAGCACAGCATAAAGCCCTCAAGGCGCGTCTACACAAGGCAGGCCAGAGCATCAGTATGGTTGTTTTTATCCCGACTGATTCGTTCCACTCGTATGGATCAAAATTTTTTGAGTAGATCCTTGGCCTTGCCTGCATACATAACCATTCTTTCGTCTCGTGTTTCATAGACCCCAGAAAGCTGGTTTACCACCAACTGTGAATCGCTGAAAATAAGTAGTTGCTCTGCACTGAAGTGTTCGGCACTACGTAAACCAGCCAACAGTGCTTTGTATTCCGCCTCATTGTTTGAAGCCTTCCAGTCGAGCCTAAGAGCTTGCTCCCAAATAAACCCTTCTGGTGACATAAGTACTACCCTTGCTCTTGAACCTCGGTTATTGGATGATCCGTCGACATAGAGCTTCCAGATGTTTCCAATAAAGAGTTTCCATGCTTCTGAAGCACATTGTTTTCCCAGTTCGATGGTGCGTGGCACCTATGTCGAACTGGAGTTCTCAGGCTCGGTACTCTGGGTGGGAGTGAATTCTGCGATGAAATCCGCCAAGACTTGGGCCTTGATTGCTGTCCTAGGTTGATATCGAGTGTCAAACTCACCAAGTTCTACTGCCCATTTTGCTATTCGGCCAAAGAAATTAGCTCGGCTGAAGAGAGATCTGAGGGGGAATTTAGTGAGGACATTGATAGTATGCCCTTGGAAGTAATGTTGCAACTTTCTTGAGGCGATAAGCAATGTGTAAGATAACTTTTCCAAGGGTAGATACTGTGTCTCGGCATCTAGTAGAGTCTTGCTAACATAGTATACTGGCCTCTGTTTCTTGTTAACTTCTCGAATCAATATCGCGCTTATGGCATGGTCTGAGACTGCCAGATATAAGTGCAGTTCCTCCCCTAGTTCTGGAGTGGACAGAAGAAGTGGTGTACTGAGGTATCTTTTAAGACTTTGCAATGCTTCGGTACACTTAAGACTCCATTCCAACGCTGCTTTCTTTCTCAGTAGCTGGAAGAAGGGCTTCATCCAATCTGAAGACTTGTTGATGAACCGATTCAGGGTGGCCGCCATTCCGGCCAACTTCTGTAGCTCTTTAGCCTTTGTTGGTACTTCAAGCTCTTGTATTGCTTTGATTTGGTTCAGATTTGCCTCGATTCCTCTGTGAGTGACCATGTACGCCAAGAACTTCCTTGTTCCTACCCCTAAAGCGCATTTCGAGGCATTAAGGTGAAGATGATGGTTTTCTAGGATATTAAAGACTTCTCGTAAGTTTGCAAGGTGTTTTGTAGCGAGCTTTCTTTTTACTACCATATTATCTATATAAGCTTCCATGGTTTTTCCAAGTTGGTCCTTGAACATTCAAGTGATCATTTGCTGGTAGGTTGCCCTAGCGTTCTGGAGGCTGAACGACATTACTTTGTAGCAATAAGTGCCCCTTGGAGTGATAAATGCTGCCTTCTCCTGATCTGGACCGAACAGTGGTATCTGGTGATAACTGCTATAAGCATTTAGAAAGCTCATATGCTCATGGCCTGCTGTTGAATCCATTAGTTGATCGATGCAAGGTAGAGGAAAGCTATCCTCAGGACAAGGTCTGTTCAGGCAGGTGAAATCAACATAGACTCTCCATTTTTCGTTCTTCTTTTTGACTACAACTGTGTTGGACAACCATTATGGGTATTGAACTTCTCTAATCGCTCCTGATGCTAGGAGCTTTTTGACTTTGGCAATTACCGCTTTAGTGTGCTCAACTGAGGATCTCCGACTTTTCTGCACGACAGGCCGAGCAGAGGGATTGATGTTGAGTTCGTAGCAACAAATTCTGGGTTCAATCCTGGAATATCATATGCTGACCATGCGAATACCTCCATATTTTCCATCAGCAATTCTAGCAGTTGAAGTTTCTCATCAGCGCCTAGCGAGATACCGATAAGGAAGTACTTTTCTGGATCATCCGCTTTTACCAGGACTTTCTCCAAATCTTCTACCATCTTTTCCTCTGGAGCTCCTCCTACATCTTCTAAGACTGGCTGTTTGGCCACTTCCACTGTCTATACTCTGTTACAAAGTTGTTTAGCCTTCATTGCTGCCATGAAGCAATGTTTGGACGCAACTTGGTCCCCTACAATCTACTCTACTCCGTGTTCCGTTGGGAAATGGATGAGCTGGTGGTAAGTTGAAGGGACCGCCTCCATTTGGTGAATCCATGGATGGCCGAGTATGGCGTTGTAAGGAGAAGGTGTGTTAATAACAAAAAACTCTATCTGGAGTGTTTTCGTTCCTGCCACAACCGGCAACACTATTCTGCCAAGTGGCCACTCTGGCTGTGAATTGAAGCCGACTAAGGGAGTTACAGTTGTGGTGAGGTGCTGCTTAGAGAGACTGAGCTTTCTGAACAAGTCATAATACAATATGTCTGCAGCACTTCCTTGATCTATCAGGACTCGTTTTATGTCAAACCGTTTCCCAATTCCCATAGTTATAATTAGTGCATCAGTATGTGGGTGTTGTATGCCTTCTAAATCCTTTCTAGTAAACGAAATAGTGCACAAAGGGGACTTAGGTACTATGTGAACCTTTTTTGATGCGGGCTTTACTGACATGACTTGCTGAATTTGCACAGCCTTTGCAATTTCTTCTTCTAGTGCCTCTTCGCACTTCTGGGTCGTTGTTCCATGAATCACATTTATTACCAGCCGAGGTGGATGCTCGTTGTTCGGTTCTTGTGGTGGGTTCCCCGATTCGGCCACTGCTTTATCCTGATCGATGTAGTCTCGGAGGTGTCCAGCTGCTACTAGGTCTTCCAGGTGTTGCTTTAGTGCTCTATAATTCTGAGTCATATGCCCCTTGTCTTGGTGATAAGTGCATCTGAGCTTCTGATTACGCCGAACTGGATCTCCTAACATTTTCGGTGGCCAAATAAAGAAGGGCTCTCTCTTGATCTTTTCCAGGATACGATAGATTGGTTCTTTGAATACGATCACGACTGCCTTGTGAGATTTGGACTTGTCCACCTCATTCGCCATGAGTCCCCAGTGTTCTCCTCGATCCGTTCTCTTCTTGTGCCGAGCTGTTTGTTCTACTGATGCTACCTCGATAAGGATCTGGTCATCTTCAAGGCGAGCGTACTGTTCAATCCTGGCACGCAAATCCTTCAATGTTATGGCTGGGCACTTGGTAAGTGACTGTCTCAACTTACTTTCCGGGCGCAGACCATGTTTGAAGGACATTATAGCCATCTGCTCACTACAAACATTTTCCTCTAAGTCATTGTACTCTTCCCAATACCTCCTAGCATAATTGCACAGCGTTTCTTCCTGCTCCTTTCGGAGACCGAACAGTGTATCCGGCTCTTTTCGGGATCTTAGTGTTGGAGACGAACCTGGCTAAGAACTCTTTGGAGAGCTACTTCCAATCATAAATTGATCCAGGGGGGTGTCAATCGAACCATCGGAGTCTGGATTCTCCCAAGCTGGACGGGAAGACTTTGCACATCAGTGCTTCGTCTTGGCTCCATAGGGACATCATCTGTCTATAATGGCTGATGTGCATCAATGGGTCTGACTTCCCATCGTATGACGTGCACTTTAGCGGGGTGAATTGCTTGGGAGGTCTCATGGCCTCGATTTTAAGAGAGAATGGGGAGGAGACAAGCCTATCCAATGCTCGATGCTCTCTTTGGTGAATGGTACAGTCTAGATGATCTCGACGTTGCTCATTCTGCTTGTTACCAATTAGCCAAGTACGAAGGTCTTGAGAAGAGTACTCAGTCTGTTGGCTAATCGTCTTTTGCCTCTTAGCCCTTCTCCAGCATGACCCACGGGTGTGGTTGCTTGCCGCCTCACTTTGTATTGGGATTGGCTGGCTCTATTGCCCAAATTCATTTCTGGGGATCTTCTTCCCCGGTGGTTCTCTGGACGAGCTTCTCTGTCGTAGGCGAGAGGGCTTTGCATCAGTCCTCTTCTCCGTCGAATCACCCAGCACCTTTTTGAGTTGCACTTTCAGCTCCTATATCTCTATCCCCATGGAGTCTATGATTTGATCTTTGTAATCCTTCTCTAATAGGAAATGGTGAGAAGAACCTCCAACGAAGGGTAGTCGATGCTCAACAGATTCAGGAGTCCGGTTGTTGTTTCTGGTTTGTTCCTCTAAGACTGTTGGGAGTGCCAAGCCTTTGTCCTTTGTCTTCTCCATCTGTGGAGTATGTGCCGAAGGTGGGATATCCTCAATCCCCATCTCCGGAATCGAGTACAGAGTTCTGAGACAAAGCCTCCACGCTCACCGCACCAATTGTGCGTACTGAATACCGCACAGAATGATTGTGGATCGGAGCTTCACACTTGATTGGACTGCCTGGGAATTGAGGCCCTGCAACAAGGAGCATCGTCAGAGCTGCCCAGCTGGGGTTGGCCAGATAACCCCTCCGGTGTGGGAATGAGTAATCGGGGAAGGAGAAAGATACTCCATAAGTGTAGAGATTTCAGCTTAGATTAGTTACCTTCAATGTGAAGTTAGTGTGGTTTATATAGAACTCCTTGCTTGTTGTCCAAGATGGTTTCATGGAGCTCTGGTGCTGCCAAGTTTCCTTTTAGCATTTCTCAAGGTAGGGGACCATCTGGTAGTTGTCAAGGGGTGCATATATTCATTGTAGTCATGCTGATAACAAACCACATTCCTTTGGTTTAACTGTTTCCGTGATTCTAGGTGTAGGGGACCAGCTGAGGTGGCATCTTGTACATGCATATACTCACAGCTTCCATGTTTCTCTGAGAGGTTCCCTCAGCTCGGTACCATTATGCCTCAGCTCGGCCCTTTGCGAGACTACTGTAGGGATGGGCTGGCCCATTTGGATATCTGTGTATGGAACTCAACCCACTTTGGTTCTGATGATGAGTTTGACCTATTAGTTCGGCCCATAGAACACTACAAGAATTAACACTTTTGGCAACAAAAAAATTGGTCGCTAAAAGTCAATTTTTGGTCGGCAAAAGTTATCTGCGACCAATTTTTTGGTCGCTACTTTGGTTGCCAATTGAGGGTTGGCAAAAGTAATTCGCGACCAAAATTGTGGTTGGTCAGCAAAAATTGGATTTTGCGACTAAATTTTTGGTCGCTAAATATTTAATTACCGCGACTAATTTATTTTGTCGGCAAAACACTTTGGTCGCGAAAAGTGTTATTTTCCCGACCATAAAGTTTGGTCGCCAATTATCACATTCAACGACCAAAAAGTTTGGTCACCAATTGTGACATTTCGCGACCAAAAAATTTTGGTTGCCAATCGTGACATTCCGCGACCAAAAATTTTGGTCGACAAAAGTGAGTTTCCACGACCAAGAGCTGTTTTGGTCGGCAATAGATGTATTTTTTGCGACCAAAACTCTTGGTCGGCAATTGTCATTTTTTTCGAAAAAAAATAATTTATTTGTCGCGACTAATAAATTGGCCTCCAAAGCAGGAAAACAATACACCTATAATTCCTAATAATTCATTCAATCCATAATAAACCTATAATTTTAAAGCATCATTCAAATTAACCGAATCATTAACATTCGACACAATACATAATTCATTAACATTCGTCACAATACAACTATTCTAAGTTTTCATTCACAAGTCACATCCATCTAGCATAACAAATCGAAACATAACTATTTGTTATCCATGCGCAGCTATCAACAAATAAAACTACTAATATTTGTTATCCATACACATGCATCCAAAAATATTTAATCCTTCAACAACACAGCTTAATCCACTAAGTTGCCTTGATAGCCAATCAAAAAGATCCTTGCACCCTTCCGTGCCAAGCTTCGCATCGATCAAAGCAGTAGTGATGCCAGGCACCTAATAAAGAAACAAAATTGGAAAATTTATCAGAGAAGCATGATAAATATATAAAATTATTTACAAAATCTGACAGTATACCCTGCAAGAAACAACTACCCAATATTAAAGTCAAATTTAAAGGACATAGAATACAAAGTTAGAAGGAAATTTAGGTTTAGAGCAAAAAACCTTGCTAGACTTCTCAACTGCAAGTCCCATTGCAGATGCAACAGCACCAATAGTAGAGAGAGTTGCCATTCCTGATCTAGAATGCATATCAACGTCAAGGCGAGCAAAACTACTTGATCCTCTGCGGGCTGTAGCTTCAGCTGAGTGAGAAGCATCATTACCTCCTGAAAGACAAGGCATGAACCCAAATGTTCAATTCACAGCACATCCTATTTGGTTTGCTCAATCAAACAATGTCACAATACTCCAATTTGAAAAGAAATAAAAATACTTCAGCTTTCTTCAACTAGAAAGTTAATGCAATTTCAACAAATCACATAATTTCTGTCTACTGCTATTGTTCTGCTGATTAAAAATGTTGATTCCAATTCTAAACTAACTTTTGTAATTCCATGCTCTATAAAGAATAATAGAACAATATCATATCAATGGGGCATCCAAATGCCCTTTCAAATTTATTTATTTTTAATTCACTAAACATGTTACAAACACAAAAACACAAACGAGATAAATGACAGAGTTTTCAACAATCTTCCACAGACATAGTCACTTGTTAAGTTGTTCATTTTCCAGGAAACATAGGACTTAGACATCAAATTCCTTAATAGAACTTGTAGATAAAATTACCAAGGCACTAAAACTGCACAACCAACTTACCTTGATGTTGAGCCAACAGAGCAACCTCCTCCAGATACAATAATTTGGCAAGTTTTTACGAAGGCTCAAAACATTAAGACTAACTAGACAAAATATAGTGTTGGTCAGGCTGTGAATATTAAAGGTTTAGTCATTTCATTGACTGCTTATTATAATTGTTCACAATTTTGACACTATAGCAGGATTCTTTGAAAAACTGAGTTGCTGACCTAAAAACAGGTACGCACTTTCAATGGAAGCAATCATAACTTAAGTATCAAGGACATAGAGCACACAATTTGGTTCATATTTACCTCGAGTAATCTTTATAAGTAAACCATCACTAAACACTCATAGTTTCAGAATTGACCATAACAGCTGTCACATTATTGTCTCCACAACTACTAAACAATAACTACTAAAGCAATAGAATAAAGATACAAAACTCTACAACTTAAAATACCAGATTTCACACTCACTAAACTACAATTAGAATAGAAATCAATCATTTAACTACATAAGCAGAATGCATCATAGAAACATTTAACTAAGGCAAAAGCAAAATTTTGGATATCAAGAAACCACGATGTAAATACAGCACAGTGAAACCAATCAAATCAAGGTTCAAGACTCCAAAAATCAAAGCACTAGGTTTCACACTGGCTAAACTACAATAAGAATAGAAATCAATCATTTAAGTACATAAGCAGAACACACTGTTGAATGATCAATTTGATTAGTAAGGCAAAATTTTACTGTCATGACTCAAGCTTTAATACAAAACAGTCAATGGAACTGGAGCTTTGATACATAACACTCATCATAAGGGCATCCATCCATCCTTGCAAGAACAGCCTCTTTACTTTCTCTAAAGTGCCTAGAATTATGTTACAGGGACACCTCAAAATGCATAATCAAACTTTGTTGAACACAACATGACACTGATACTATCTTAATATGTTCATTTTCCTGACATATTGAGACTTTGAGATGAATGAGGTACTCATATTAAGTGTCTGTAAGCTAAGAACACAAGTTTTACCCTAGGGTATAGGAGAACAAAAGTTGGAAACTCTTGGATTTGTAGAGGAAAAAGAAAAAGGGAAGGGAAAAGTGAATGAAATAGAAGCAAAATTTGTCCACAAATTTCTTCGCTTTCCTTTTCCCTTCACAAATCCAAGATCCAAACACAACATTAGTGTTATGTATCCTTGTGTCCAAAGGTTTATAAATTTGATGGATCCTTCACCAAGAGACCCCATTTCTGTCGAGTTCCATTAAACATACACCTATATCAACTAGAAAGATAGGAACCATGTAAGATGCACAAAGTGTGTCATGTAACAATGAATGTATTGATTTGTAAATGAAACTGAATAAAAATCCAAGTTATTTAGAATCATGCATCTAGAAGACAAGATGAAGAAAGGAAACATACTTAATATTCGAGTTACTCCTTGAGTTACATCTCCGTGTCCCTCTTGTGAAATTGTAGCCAAATCAACCTTTTGGATTTCCACGTTTCCAACAAAGCAGTGGAGAAGGCAAGAAGCAAGATACCTCTGGCCAGATCTGGGGCTTCCAGAAATCAGCATGCTGAATCCTAACTTCTTTGCTGATGCATAAGATATATTCTGCAACAAACTAGGTCGAGTACCTATTTGCTGATCTTTTGGATAGTTGCTATCTGCTTGAAACTTGCTATAATGAGCTGGTAAATCAAACAAGAAATTAACATAAGTATTACATGGATCTTATAGATACCACAATCTAAAAACAGTAACACAAGTAGAACATTCACTTCACTGTCATTTGCAGAGTAAATGACAAGGTTGCACATAACAAAATTTTTTATATTGATCATGTCGGCTAAACGGTTGTGTAAGTGAAGCCCCATACATTCTTGGAGATAAAATAATTGCTAAAAATGAAGGTTTTTTGGATTTTTTGAAGAAATTTTTAAGAACCTCTCTAACTGTAGCTAGAATGAAGTTTGGTGGGACTTTAAGAACTACTAAGAACTAAGATTACCTTTAGGATCAACAGGAGTTATAGAAGAACAAAATACAAGGCTATTTTAGCAATTCCAATTATAGAGATGAAAGTAAGGCTTACTTGAACTGGCTCAGCTGCAATTAGAGATCCTGCAACAGCACCACCAAAAAATTAAGAGTGATATTGTTAACATTCCACATCTAGCCTCTCACACTCCCCTTGTGAAAGGCTAAAAGACAAAAATTGGAGTGTGAGAAGTTTAAAGTAGAGTGACTATCAATTCTCAAAAATTATCCTCAGGCCATATGGACAAATCTATATTCTCTCAAGCAATCCTAGACAGTTGCACATATCCTATAAATAATGAACTTACTACATCTAGTTGCTCTAGATTATGTGCCACATAGCTAAGTATGTGATGATGTCCAAAAAAATGTCTACAGACTTGATAGACAGCATGACAGACAACAGAAAGCAAAAGGGGACATAACAGACTTTTTTTTCATTGTGAAGTCTGCAGGAAGAGGCAGATCAAATTAGTTGTTACTGATCATAAGAAAAAATCAAATTAAACACAACCCAACACAGCACTTCTCAACCATTTAGGATTTTCTATGGATAGTGAACTAAATAGAAAAATAGTTCTTAACAAGAACATCCAGTGTTGTGAATGACCCACAAGTTTCTCCATAATCTACACCATAAAATTTCATAATGAGATGAACGAAAAAAAAAAAACAGGAATTTGGAGGTCATAGGTACCTACCTCAGAAGGAACCTTCTTTAAACACGGAAACAAATTCTTTCATAGGATGAGTGCTCATCCAACTGCACAAGAAAAATTAAATAACACTAGACTGGTAAAAGACCGGCGCATTCCTTCAACATGTGAATAACAGCAGATTATGACGCTGATATCAATCTTCCTTTCTCCTAGATCGACCACAGGAACACTCTTCATTCTATACTTAGTAGCAAAAGCATGGTAAAAAAGGAGTTAGATTTCAGACGCCATTAATTTAAAAAGATTGTTATTCGTAATATATGAAACTAAACATAGACAGAAGCATCTTCCCTATTACACCCATGTCCATCATTTAAAAGAAGCAATTCATTTATTTATAGTGTATCTTTAATATCTATATGTTTAGATATATTTTTATGTATCAAAAATTAAAACAGAATCTTTATGGTTTGCAACCCAAATCAATTCACAATTCAACAAAAAGGAAATTTTGATTCATAATTTGACAACTATGATTCAAATCACTTTGTAACTCGGATGAAAAAATAAATAAATTAAAAAAAGAAGGAACTAACATAAAGAACAGAGAGTACCAGATCACAAACTATTACTGTGTGTGGACCAATTCCAGATTTTCCAAACTGATAACCTCTGCATAAAGCAGATTGAAAAACATCAACCTCTAGATAAACCAACAAATGAAGAACATTAAAAAATAAATAAATAAATAAATAAATGATGATATTAACTAAAGGTAAAGTTTAATATAAGCACAATGTCAGACTCAGAATGAATAGCAATAAAAATCATGAAGAAAATCTAAGGATCGACAATTAATCTTGCATAGCGTAACCAATACCTGCACAAAACACATGCAATGACCTTAGCATCTTCTGGATTTTTGACAATTCGAATGCAGTGCTTGGTTATCTGTTCAATAAGATCAACTCCTAAAACTCTTCCAGCTGCTACAGTATTAGCATTATGCTCCACAAACTTCTCCCTTTGGAACATGTTCTGGCAATATTTACAATACCATTTACCACGAGGAATGCTTGACAATGATGTACATTCTGCATAGGTCAGTAAGAATGTACATCAAAATCACTCACGTTGACCACCACCATGGTACCAATTTAGAAAGGCAACTAGTGCAGCACAGGAAAGCAGTATAAAAATAAAGTAAAAGAAGCAAACAGGAATGGCATTTTATTGCACAATTCTTAAATTCAGGTACAAAATGTTAGAAGTCTGGCATTTTCAACAGAGTACGTTCAGAGTGTTACTGTTTACATGAATCCCACTACTCTGATTTGTGATTTTAGAAGATAGTTTATTTGCTCCTCTTAATTCTAACTAGAGGCTTCACAGATATCAATTAATGAACAAAATTTAAATTTAATATGTTAAAAAAAGGCTTAGTTTGCTCCTCTAGTTATGTACTTCAATGTCTTGCTTTTAGCTTACACACCAATATAGAAATTCAAAATGATATATAAAAGCATAATTTTGAGTAAAAGTATAGGCGAGGATTGGAAATGGACTAAGCAAAAATTTAAAGAATTTCAAAAACCAAAAAATAGAGCATCCAACATTAAAATACTAACATTAAACAAACAAATATATATAACATGAACATCCAAGTTTCAAAAACAACAATTATCGAAGTAGGAAAAAAGAAAAAGCAAGACAATAAAGTGAAGAGGATGAAAAGCTTTGCCTGGTCTGGTAAAAGAAGCAGAAGCAGAGAGAGATAAAGGAAGAGAGACAGAGAGAGAGAAGAAGAAGCAACAGCTGAGTGGGGGCGAGAGGAAAAGAGAGCAGATTTTTTGTTATGAAAATCATATCCACCACACTTCATCCAAACACTCGAACCAAATCAAGGAAACACGAAATTCAACAAACCCACCAATGAAAATAATCAAAAACCACTAAAGCGGCACAACCACACATAGGCGCTAATAAATAAAAGACACAAAACAAATTTAAAAGACAAAAATTGTGGAACTAACAAATTCTAGAAAACCACAAGACCTTAAAGGCGAACTTATATTTGTAAAAAAAAAAAAAAGGTAAAATATCAATGCATCCCCTCAACATGAAATTGGAGTCTCATCCTTAGATTCAGCTGTCACTTTGGGAATATCATTATGTAAGCTTTAAACCAAAATTATAAATATTTAATTAATTGATGAGAGTTCATGAATTTTAGGGTTTGAAGCCATGCATGCATTCAAACAATAATCCTATGCTATAATAAGAATTCATATGATTTTGAGATCTACAACAAAGGTTCAAGTGAAAGAATTAGCATAATAATCACCAGGAGAAAAGTAACTTTTTCCTTAACTAGAAGAAGAAAAATGAAGAATGATGAAGTTTGGGAATACTAAGTTGATGGTACCCTTTTCTTCTTGTCTCAAAGCAATGATCGATTTCAATTGGTATATATAGTGAAGATAGCTATAGAATATCGTATTTAAGAAGCCTAATCATAAGAGGACAAATAGGCAAACGACCTTGAAGTATGAGCATTATACAAGCAACAGCTGCAACTATCATCAGATTTTAATCTTATATATATAATATTAATCATTTATGGTTGTGTTTTTTTGTCCTAGATTTTGTTTCTTAGGTACAAAACAAAGCAAGTTGAATTGGTTGGATGCATAGATGCAAATCTGTATTAGGAACATGCTGCATTTTAATTATTTTTAATAACAAATGAAAATCTTGGGACCAAACCATAACCCACAGATGATTGGGACCAAACCAGTTCAACTTTCAACAATCAAGGTGAAGCAAGGCAGCAAACTGCAAGGTCAAACCCAAGGAAAAGACTTAACACAAGCAACATCCAACTCAAGAGCAACACAACAACAGTAGTTTGTTTCAAAAAAAAAATAAATTTAAGTGCTTTTAGTGATTTGAAAATTAAATTATGAAAAACATACTTACAGAGCAAGTTGTGTGATTATCTGTTTTATCTCTCAACAATGCTCTTTACCTGGTTTTCACCCATGAGACATTTAGATATTTAATACAGGAAATCACAATAAGGGTGCACTTCAAGATTAGCAAAGCTAGGTAGAAATACTTTACATTCAATTCATTGAGAACAAAGAATTAAAAGAATAGTAAAGCTCCCGCAACTGGAGGCCCTTAAAGCACATCAAGAAAAAAAAAATATTTTACATTCAAAACACTAAAAAAGATGAAGATACTAAAAAATTATACTCACCTCTCAATGTAATCCGACTAGATGAAGCAATATCAGAGCAATGTAAAATATTTTCGAAACAAGTATCTCTTGCATTATATTTTGGCACAATAGTATAATGAACTCCATCTAAGCATTAAGAGGGAAAGATAGAACTCTAGCTTTTAGAGGAAAAGAGAGAGAAAAGTTTTAGGGAGAATAACAAATGGGCTGCCCTGAAGCAAGGCATAACAATATCAAAACATAAGATGAAGCATACATTTGAATAAGTCAGTACTTGCTTTTTAAGCTTTGATCTCAAATTGTTCCAATTCTGGGTATAAATACATTTTCCACCACCAAGAATAAATTCCAAGATGCCTACAAGGAATGACATAAATCATAAGTAGATTGAAAGATTATCAAAACAAAGTAAAGAACCAAAATCCTTTTTTTTTCTCCAAACCAACACTGACAATATAATCATAAGATTGGGCCTGATGAGAGAATCTGAATTACAATATATATATATATATATATCAAAAAAGAACTGATCTTATCACATGAAATCAATGATACATTGCACCCAAAAAATAAAAAAATCAATGATATAGATACAGACACACAAAAGTCATTAATTAAACAAAAAAACAAAACTAACTATGTGAACTATGAGGAATGTCCATCTATGAGTATATTGGTTTTCATCAAATAAGGAAAACAAACTAAGCTCATATAAACACCTTGTTTCCTTTATATAAATTATAATTAATAGAAGCAAAATATACCATGCAACACAGCACAAACCTAAAAATCGAGAATTATGGGATTCCCCAATCTGGTATTTTGGAATAACTCATAGTACTACCCCTTTCCATTTGTTTGCATTCCTGTATAAATAAAAGACAATATAATCAACATAATCACCCTTCAAGAAAAATAATCTCCAATTCATTAACTCTTAACAGAGAAAGTAAGCCACAACTTTATCTTGTAGTTCGCCTCATAAGGTGATGTTCTGATAATTCTTGTAATTTGTAGCTTTCCCTTGTTACATCAGACTTTTCCCAAAGAATGCCCTAAAATTCAAATAGACTAAAAATTCTCAATTTAGAGTATAGAAAAACAAGTAGTTCTTGTATGATGTTCCAATCTAAAATGAACAAACCAGTAGTTGAGTAGTCCCCAAGCTGCAACAATACAATTGAGCTTAATTAATATTACCTGAATGCATAGAAAACTGGTGTAAAACTCACAACAAACACCACTATCAGATCAAGATGCAAGAAAAGAAATGCAAGTATAAGTCCAAACAATGCTTGAAGAAACCCCACCTAAGACGCAATGTATCCCATCTCCTTCTAGTTAAATGTATTAAACCAGCCAAAATGAGTAATTCACTGTTATGTATCCAAAAAATTTTAAAAATTACTCACATCATTGCACTTTTTTTTTCTCTCTACATATTCTACTAATTGCTCTTTTTATTAGGCAATGGCATTGTCAAATGAGAAAAAAGAACAAACCAAACGAAATAAGTACTTATATTCTGTTCCATTTTGATTGCGATCAGAAAAATGATACAAAGAAGCAATATAGAAATTCAACATCACAAAAGTCACTAAAAAATGAAAAAATTAGTTTGATATTATTGGCGATTAATTGATATTACCTTATGAAGATCCATTGGGCCCAATGGCCTTCAATCATCATTATCTAATTACACCTAGAACAAAAAAAAAAAAAAACTAAAATCAAAATTTACAAATAATTTTTTTTACAAGATTTAATACCTAATTTTTTTATTAAATAATGAAATCCCATTTTCTGATTTCCTGCATTTCTTATTCTACAAAACTAAAAGTGCCATTTTTCTTCAATCTCAATTAGCCATAAGCAATTTCCATTAGTCTATTGCTTTTGGAAAATTAGACACAGCTCAATGGTTCAGGCCATCTCAAAACCCATGAAGGTCATAAGGAGAAAATAAAAACTATTGAAACTTGAAAGTGCAAGCCAATCATGTGGTTGGATGTCTCATGCAACATGATGCGAGACTTTATTGCTAAGAATAGGTTAGATAAGGGTTCCATTTCTCATCGATACATGGACACAAACAAAAATTGAAAAACCTAAACTTTACACAGTCCCAAATATACCAACAGTCAAAAATTTACAGAGAAGTGGCCATTTAAAACCTAAATTTAAAAATCACAACTCCTCAACCCAGAAACTCTCCAGATTAAATCTTCACCCCATATACCCAACAAATCATTCACAAAATGCCAACATAATGATAAACCCCATAGAAAAAATGAGGCACACAAGTGTCCCATTCAAAAACAACTAATCATCCCAAAGCATCAAGAAATCTCAAACTCAAACAAGTATCAGAAAATAAAAATGCTCCGAAAGATCTGAGAACCATAGCCCTAATGTGAAACCTTAGAAAACTCATATCATTCATTTCAACAAAGAATCCCAAAAATGAACATCAAAACATTAAGCAGAGAGTGCACCTTCACTTCACAAAAACACCAAAACATCTAATTAATCAAAGTCGGAATACAAACCTTCGAATTCAAAGAAAACATTGGGTGGAGAATGCAATATCAAGAGAGATTGAAACCCTTCTCCTGCGGTTTTGCTCATTCGAACCCTCTCTCTTCTCCATCTCTTCTCGGTTTTGCTCCCTTCATCTCTTCAGTCGAGAAAGTTATTGGAGATTGAATCTTTGAGATCCATAAAGGAAAAAGGAAAAAAAGGAATGTAAGCAAAGCAAAGGTTTGATGATGAAGAAGAACAAGAAGAAGATGAAGAATTAGGGATGTATAGGAATCAAAAAATTGGAGATTAATTGAAAGGAATAATAAAGAATGAAGACGAGAAGGCCAGCGATGAAGCGGCTGAGATTGGAAGAGCAACGCAGCTTGTCAAACCTCATAATAAGAAAGTCGATTCGATTTCGATCTTATGCCGAATCGGTGATGTGCGATCTTCAACAATAATAATCAATCTACTCCGGAGAACAATCAATGAGCTTCGCGTCAATTGCATATATAGATCGAACCCCCTCCTCTTTCTTTCTCCTTCGTTTCGCTCTTTTCTCTCCAAAATAAACTGAGAACCAGAGATCCATTATGTAAATGTTTTTTTTTTTTTTTTTTTCATATTATGGTGTTTGGCGCTCAAAATTTTGGCGACCAAAAGACAATATTAGTCGCAGAAAAGGTACCTTCACCGATAAATTTTTTTAGTCGCCAAATCTTAATCAACAGCGACTAAAATATTAGTCGCTAAAAGTACTAATTTGGCGACTAATTTTTTTTGGTTACTGAAAATAAGTTTTTGGCGACCAAATTTTTGGTCCCCAAAAAATATGTGACCTTCCGCGACTAAATTTGTAGTTGTTCGGCAAAAGCATACCACTTTTTGCGACCAACTCATTTTTTGGTCGCCAAAATATAACCTTCTACGACCAATAATATTTGGTCGCCAAATGTCATTTTTTTGCGACCAAAATTTTTTTGGTCGGCAAAAGTGGTTGGCAATTATGTAAATTCTTGTAGTGGAATGAGTCCTACAGCTCGGCCCTAGCCTAGTATCGCAGTTGGACTGGCCTTTCCACTGCGAGTTTAGCCCAAGTGCTTGAGGACTTGAGTGGACTGTTGGTAATGGAGTTGGGCTTAGTTGGGTTGCCCAAATGCTCATCTGACCCATTTGAATTTGGGCTTAGGAGATTGGACCGGCCCAAGGCATAGATCCGACCCATTTCATATTTAGCCCTTTCAGAGATAGTTCTAGCGAAGAACTTTTAGATGACTCACTCGAAGCAGCTGTTATGCAGCAGATGTGTCCCAGGTGCAGGCTAAATTACAAATGGCTGAAAAGGCTTCCAGTTGATGGGACGTAATACTACAAAGATGTGTAGAAAGATTGTAGGCCAGTCAGTACCCACAATAAGAGGCCATACCCAAGTGGTCAGTCCTATGATCTCCAGATCTCAGAGGAGGAAGATCCAACGACGGTTCACCCAACACCAGAAGGATCTGAAAGGAGTCGGTGAGAGCATGCTTTTGGTGAAATCAAGAGGTTGAATGGGAGAAAGGGAGAGCTCAAAACCTAAACCCAAGATTAATAGAAGTACCAACAGAGAGAAATTAGCTAAGGTCGATGCTAAATTGAAAGCCAAAGAGAAATCAAGTTTGGCAGGCCTCGAAAAGGCCTTAATGGAAAGTGATAACGATAGTGAGATAGACAAAAGAACTAAGCCAAGCTAGGAAAAGATATTGGCTGAAGAAGGAATGTTCGAGGCCTTCATGGTCGAACAAACAGAGTCCGTATTCAAGATAGGCCAACAACAGACTGCTACTAAGGAGCCAACCAACTTAGAGGTTCCAGAATGCAGCATGGAAGATGCATCCTAGGCATCAGGTCAGACCAACACAAAAGGGGAGCATGTGTAGCCAGTAATACAGTTTGGCTCATTCCTCTGAATGCCGATCAACATGGTCTACATGCTGCCACATGAGTTTCAAGTTGAGGAAGGGAATCAAGAGGGTCAGGAGGATGATCCTATAGAAGTCTCCAGTGAGGATTCGCAAACTAGCATAGTCCACAATAAGTCTGAAATAGCTAAGCCTATAGAGACTGATGAAGAAAATGAAGAGGTGAGCATAGTTACCCTATCATACCCCTTTGAATATCCCATATCTTCAATGACTCAACATGTTAAACCTTTGTACATTAAGACATACTTTGATGAAATAGAGATGAATAGGGTATTAATGGATAATAGGGCAGCAGTAAACTTGCTTCCTCGTTCATCTCCGAGGAAATTGGGCAAGAGAAACCCTAGATTAATCCCAATGAGCACGACCATTGCTGGTTTTGCTGGGGACAAGAAGATGGCCCAAGGCATACTACCCATTAATCTGAGTGTAGGGACAAGGGATTGTATGACTGCCTTTTTTTATTATAGACGGCAATGACAAGTACAATGCCTTGCTTGGTAGAGATTGGATCCACACCAACAAGTGTGTACCCTCCTCTTTACATCAGAAAGTGATGATAGCCCTGAGTAGTGGGGAAACAAAGGAAATAAATGCAAACCCATAGCCCTTTATTGCATGTGTAGATTTTGCAGAAACAAAGTTGTACACCAAAGGGGTGGTTCCACTCAGCATGTTAAGGAAGCCTGATGCAACAACTGAAGTAATGACTGATGAGGAAGTGGCACACCTAAAACATTTGATACAGGAAAGTGCTGATGATGAATATGACTACATCATCAAGGACACCAACAATGCCCAGTTATAGGCAGGAGGATCAAGAAATCAGACCATGGGCTTTAGTCAAGTTCTTCACATTAGACATTGAGGCAATAGTCCATAAAGTTCGGGAAAAAAAGTCCACGAAAGAGAAAGGGAAGCCATGATGATTAGCTACAAACATGAGCAACATGAGGCTAAACCATTGGCTCTAAGTAAGTATTGTGCGTTGGACATTGAAACTAAAGTCCAAGAAATACAGGAAGAAGAAGCTCTATGGACAGATTTTATCTATGAAGAAGAAAGTAAAGATACTGAACCAGGAAGGGTTGTGACAAATCAAGATGAAAAGGTTGCTTCAAAGCTAAAAGAAGTTGAGCGAGAAGCATTAGTAAGTACTCATATGCAAGATCCTTTGGAACAAGTCAATCTAGGGGAAGCTTCAGTACAACAACCTACTTACATCAGTTCTTGGTTGCATCCCATTGCCAGGGACCAACTATTGGCTATCCTGAAACAATATAAGGATTGTTTTGCTTGGTCTTACAATGAAGGAGGAGATTGCCAGGCTCCTCAAAGCAGGCTTAATCAGAATAGTCAGGTATGTTGAGTGGCTGTCAAATATCGTGCTTGTGAACAAGAAAAATGATAAATTGAGGGTATGCATTGATTTCATAAATCTGAATTTGACAACTCCAAAAGATGAGCACCCCATTCCTATAGTGGATCTATTGGTAGATAGTTTAGCTAGACACAGGATCTTGTCTATGACGGATGGACATTTTGGCTATAACCAGATATGCATAGAAGAGGAGATGTTCACAAGACAGCTTTCAGGTGTCCTGGGAACATTGGGACCTTTGAATGGGTTAAGATGCCATTTGGGTTAAAGAATGTTGGGGCAACATATCAGAAGGGAATGAACACCATCTTCCATGATCTCATCGGAGGGTACTTGGAGTGTTACATTGAAGATATTGTGATAAAATCTCAGTCTATGGAAGAGCATTTGGTCCATCTGACAGCAGCCTTCGAAAGATTAAAGAAATTCAAGTTAAAGCTCAATCCACTCAATTGTGCTTTTGGTGTATTAGTTGGAAACTTCTTAGGACATATACTACACAAGAAGGGAATACAGATTGATCAGAATAAAGCCAAAGCCATCATTGAGTCCAAACCTCCATCAAGTAAGAAAGACGTGCAAAAATTCCTTGGTCAGGTTAATTTTCTTCGAAGATTTATTTCTAACATTGTTAGGAAAACTAAATTTTTTTCATCTCTGTTGAAGTTAAAAAATGAAGAAGAATTTATTTGGCCAGCAGAGCATTAAGCTGCTTTCAAAGGAATAAATGCCTATTTGGCCAAGCCTCCAATGCCAATACCACCAAGGAAGAACATACCTTTGAAGTTATACATTGCTACAACTGAAGAATCATTGAAAGTTTTTCTGGCACAGGACAATGAAGAGGGCAAGGAGTAATCAGTCTATTACGTTAGTAGGTTTTTAAACTCTTGTGAATCTAAATACTCAATTGTTGAAAAGTTGTATTTAGCCTTGTACTTTGCAGCAATAAAATTAAGATATTATCTTTTGCTTACTGTTGTCTTGGTAATTGCAACCACAGATTTGGTTAAATATATGTTATCTTGACCTATATTAAGAGGAAGAATGGGCAAATGGATTTTAGTTATGCCAGAATTTCATTTGGAGTATGTCCCCCAAAAGGCAGTAAAAGGTCAAGTATTGGCCAACTTCTTAGTTGATCATCCATGTCAAACAGAAAATCAAGAAATAATGGAATTTGACACAGCGGGTTTGGAGCCATGGCAGATGTGGTTTGATGGATCAAAGGCTAATGGTCTAGTGGGAATTGGTGTTGTGATTAAATCACCACAAATGGTAAAAACCACACATGGTTTCAGAATTGATGAGACTACCTGTTCCAATAATCAAGCTAAGTATGAGGCCTTGGTTGTGGGACTTGAGATACTTATTAGTTTACAGGCTCATGTAGTTGACATATTTGGAGATCCCCAATTGGTAATTAATCAAGTAAAATGGATCTTTAAATGCCAAAGTGCAAGCATGTTGCCATACTATGTTGATGTTATACATTTGCTCCAAGTGGCAAATGTAACTTACATCCCAAGAATCATGAATCATAAGGCCAATGATGTGGTCCAGAAAGTTTCAAATTTCAGAAGAAGAGATAGTGCTCAAATAGACATGAGCCAAGCAACATACCAGAAGCTGATGCAACCTTTAGAAAATGAGGTATATTAGTAGAAGCCAATCAAAATGACTTGGAAGAGCAGGATTGGAGACATCCAATCATTTAGTATTTGACTGGCCCTTCTTTGAAGGCCAATAGAAGGCTTAAACTACAGTCAATGCAGTTCATAGTGTATGGGAATGCTCTTTATAAAAATGAGGTAGATGGTTTTCTATTAGAGTGCTTGGGACCAAAGGAAACATTGACTGCCATGGCTGAGGTGTATGAAGGCATTTGTGGTGCTTACCAGCCTGGTGTTAAGATGAGATGGTTACATATAAGGCATTCTTATTACTAGCCAACCATCCTTAAGGATTGCATAGAATATGCAAAAGGTTTCCAAGCATGCCAGAAGCACGGTATGATAAGACATGTTCCAATAACTAATCTACATGCAATAGTGAAGCCTTGGCCATTTAGAGGATGGGCAATGGACATGATAGGGAAAATTTACCCACCTTCTTTGAAACAACACTGTTTCATTCTAGTGGCTACAGACTACTTTACTAAGTGGATTGAGGCTAAGCCTTATAAGACTGTAGATCAGTCAAAGGTGATTGACTTCATTAAGGAATAAATTCATAGGTTTG